GGGGGGGGGAAGTAACATCAATCCATGAGAACAGTTGATTCAACACGGCTGTTTACACTAACCATAGGTTTGAAATTCTCCTTATCAGCAACAGGATGTTACAATGATAACGTGTGGTTTGAAACAGGCTCATTCAGAGCTGTGAAGAATCATGGGAAATGTATGACAGCTGGAATCTGAATGAATGACATCTGTTTTTTCATATATTCCATTAGGCCTGAACCTATAAGTCAATTAATCGATCAATCGGTCATCAGAAAATGAGTCCACTACTTTGATAATTGAGTAATATCTCGAGGCATCATTCTTTTCCTTTGTCTTAAGTGGTAAAAATAGACTAGTAACGGATTATGATGTATGAAAATAATCATTAGTGGCAGCCTTATATTCCATTCAAGTATATCTATTCATTAAACTATCTCTGCAGCATATTCGATCAGCTTAAAGGCAGATACGTCTTTATTGCACTTTGCAAATTACGGATTGAAGTCATAGTCACACATGATAAGATTGAACATCTGAATCATCAGCGTTCAGCCTGAGGAAAGCAACGAGGCCGTGACTTAGTCTGTCGCAACCACTCAGGTGTGTGATGCTGTGCAGCTTCACTACAAATACAAACTTGTTGACAACCTCCGTTCACCTGCCGTCTCTCGCTTCATTGCTTTTAGATTTGTTGTCTTGAAGACATTCATTCAATTTGGAGAATCCTCTCCGAGGCTCCCTGCTGACACCCTATAACTGCAGTTTGCTGCGTGTATTAAGTTAACTGCTGATGTTTCGGGAGGAGTTTGTGTCATACTAGTTTGATTCCTCAACAACAGGTTGACAATTTCTTCCACAAGCTGTGAAGATCGCTTGCCTGACAAACATTTCAGTAGAGACGTTTCTCTGGGCTAGAAATACTTTTGTAGTCAGTGGAACAAAACAAAAGAGAGAGAGAGAACAATGAGAGCACAGAGACATGGACCTGATCAAAGGGAAGTTGCCTGTTTACATGACAGCTACATAGGATTCCCTATAAATATATAATACATTGATTTACAATGTATTTTGGAATATATTGAATTACTGCTGTAGATCATACAGTACGATTACTATTGTTTCTCACCCCACCAATGTGTATTTCCTCTATTATTTGATCAAATGATGCTCTCTATTATCAAAATGAAGTGTTTAAAGTTGTCATTTGGACATATATAATAATAAAGAAACAGCCAATTAGGTGTATTACAGATACATTTATATAATAAAAACAAGCTTATGATCTATGATCTGTATATTTTGTGAAATCCTATTACTTTATATACTGGATTCTTTCGATTCGTAAAGTTGCTCTATAGTCTGGTACAAATTATTTTTAAAAGTTGGAAGCGTTGTTATTGGCTTTTATTAATCAGGAAACATTCCACTCACTTCAAATATTAGCAGCAACCACGTTTGTCAAATCTTTGATAACCGCATATTTCACCAGAAAGCTTTCACTGTAGCCTACATTAAAAGCATTTGAACTGTTAAATAAAAGCAGATTCATTTTACCTCCAGCTTGTCTGCGTACTCTTCATGAAGTTTGTCGCTCCGCTCTTTCAGCTGACGGTTTTCCAGGAGCAACGCGTTCCCCAGCTGGGCCGCCAAAATAACCTCTTCCTCCTTTTGTTTCAAAGCAGCCACAAGTTCATCGGGCTCTTGATAATCGGTCATTTCCTCCGCTCCGTAGTCGAAGTAGAAATCCTCCTCCAGGTCCATTTTCTTGGACTTGAAGCTCCATTCACCAAGTCGATCCATAACCGACAGGTGACTCAAACAAACACACACCTCCGGAATAGATGTCGTTTTTAAACACACAGAGAAGACGCAGAAACACGTTGACACAGTGCCGCGCGCGTGTCAAGAAGTTGTCCGTCCATTACTCCGGGGTGCTCTTTCAGTGTGGATGTGTGTGGAGCTTTGAGGTTTGGGTTCCACGGCGTCGGTAGGCTGCTCCGTCTGTCACCAGCACATGACTTGTGCGCCTCTAGAGGGATGTGGCTTCACCTGAGCAACTGTTGCCAAACAGACTGATACCTGTCCTCGCGCTCACTGGTTTGTAGTGGAAAATCACAACAAAGCATGGAAACACCTGTGTGAAGAGTGGTGGAAGAAGTATTTTTTTTTTTTTTCAATTCAGTAAAAGTAGCAGCACCACTGTGTAAAATGACTCTGTTACAAAGTATTAACATAAAAACATACTAAAGTACAAGTAGTAGAGAATTGTTCATTTCAGAATTATGTATATTATATTAATAGATCATAATAATGCATATATTAATGTATGTATCACTTTAATGTTGTAGCTGATAACGGTGGAGCTCATTTTAATTACTTATATACTCCTGTGTAATCTATCATATCTTTTTTGTTGTTGATGTTTTGTATAAATATTCTGAATCTGTAATGTAACAAGTAACTAAATGTATGAAATAAATGTAGTGGGGTACAAAGTACAATATTTTCCTCAGGAAGTAGTGAAGTGGAAGCTTAAAGTAGCAGAATTACTTGAGTTGAGTACAAGTGCCTCAAAATTGTTCTTTAATACAGTACTTGAGTGAACGTACTCCCTTACGTTCCACTACTTTATTCAAGGTGTTTAGTTTGTTGACCAAATTCTACACATCACCACAGTATATTACCTCAAAAATACCCGAGCATTGGATCAACACCTCGCTGGTGTAGTATAAAATATACAATATAAGAATAAAGCAAAAGTAAAGGTTTCACCAACTATTAAAAAATATGTGGAACATCTAATTGTCCAGTCATTAGAATATTTTCTAATATCCATTGTCTTTCTAATTCTGAATATATTAAACAGTTTCTAAATGGATTTTGAAGAAAATTGATCATATAATGATGTATATATATTAATATTGTATAGTACAATTTCAACAAAACCCACTCCTAATCAACTCTTAATCATCTGATAAGATATATTGAATCATTTTTAAATTCGTGATACATTTTGGACACTGCACTGTCTGCATGATCTTCACTGCACATATAACCAAAAACATGTTTTGGATGCCCAGAATATATAATACTCAGGCCTATTGATGATATTTTGAAGTATGGCAGTGAATATGTCTGTGAGGGAATCACTGTTTCATGCATCCATCCACCTAACAAGTGCTCAACAAGTCCACCGAGAGGGGAATGTCTGGCTGCTTTGTCTGGCTGCTTGCCAGAGGTGAAAGGTCAAGGCCCCGCAAGGTTTCATAGAGCAGAGGGCAGTGTCGGGGGAATAAAAGATGCAGCATCCTGATGCATGGCAGGGCCTTTGTTGTCGAGGGGCGGCACAGTTTCTGTACATATGGCAGCAGGGGCCAGGCAAACGGAGGAGGCTCAATCTTGACGCACACCGCCACCGTGTCCATTGTTCCTTTTCAGTTTACAGGCTGCTGATGGAGGGGCTTGTTGCCGCGAGTGGGACACATGTGGTCAAGCTGTGCTCAATAAGGAGAGGAGACATCACAATCAGACAAAGCTAATGAAGCAGCACGCGTGCTTGTGTGCCTGAGTGTGTGTGTGTGTGTGTGTGTGTGTGTACCGGCGTGTGTGCGTGCGTGCGTGTCATATGTCAAGATCACCTCCAGTAAATAAGATCCCCATCATTACATCCATCAATGACCAGAGGATGAAGGCTGATGTCATTACATCCATAGAGTGGGAGAAATAAATGAAGTTGGGTTTGTGTTTGGCTACTACTCATTTCATGTCTCCATATTTTTACAAGATGCACTAACAACGAGCAGTGGTTGAATTTTATCTAAACACAAAGTAAGACAGTATATAATGCTGCTGTAGCGAACAAATGTCCTCTTGCAGGATTAATAAAGTATCTATCTATCTATATTTTCATAATGTATCAAAGCAGAATAGCTCCTAATATATTGGATGATTTTTTCACTGTAGCATTAACATGTTGGTTGAGGTGGAGCCAATAACAACTTTATCCAGTGCTTTCATTGTGTCTTATGAGTTTTAACTAAAGCTCTCAAATAAATGAGGTGAAGTAAAAAGTACAATATTTCCTCTGAGATGTGATGGCTTAGAAGTATTAAGTAGCATTGAATGGAAATACACAAGTAATACAAGTACCTCAATATTGCACAGCAGTACTTGAGTAAATTAGTGTTTGAAGGCCAGTTGTAACGCCAATGTGTTATTTTATCATTAGTTGTAGTAAATATACTCCAGCCCATCACGGACCTCTAGTGGCTCCTGGTGGACACAAATGTGAAACACAACCCTGATGGATGTGTTAGTAAAGTAAAGAAGCTGTGACGCATGTTATATCAGTATCAGATTTTCTTTTTTAATACTACAGTATATAAGGTAGTGTATTGTCAGACAAGAGGAGGCTGGAAAGTGTTCATCTTTAGAATTTTTTTTTTTTGAAATGTATTACTTGTGTATCAGTGACAGCTTAAAAATAACTTTTTATTAATAAGAGCACAGTATTTTATTTCCACATCTGTGATCTGTTTTTTTAATTATTGATTTTATCTTATGTCATTGTTGAGTACTTTATGCCATTTTATTTTGTATTATTTTAAAGCCCTTTGTAACCTTGTGCTGTATTAATAAACTGTAATATGATGATTATTATTATTATAACTATTATGATTATTATCAGTAATATTGATGTTATTATTATCATCATCATCATTATTAATAATATTATTACTGTCATTATTATTATTACAATTTTCCATTTTGTATTTTTCTACATAATGTTTTTGTTAGTTGCTTATCATTTTATTGAAATTATTCGTTTTACTTTATTCCACATATTTTCTTATATCTTTTTTTGTCATTTATTTGTACTTGTTTTGAAGCTCGTTGTTGCATGAATTCTTATTTTTATTGACATATTGTAGAAGCACTACATACTCCGGCCAGCAGGTGGCGATATGTGACCTTTCATTAAACAATGTAAAAAGAGGAAGCACAATTTATAAACACGCTTGAACTTTCACGAGTTGGGAAGAGCTGCCTTACTGTAACAGATTTACATCAATTGTTTCTCATTATAGTGACAATGGACAGGAGCGCAGGGACAGTTTCATCTATTAAAGCTTTAAGGTGAGGAACTGTTTCCTTGTTTGCTGCGTAGTCTCCTAACTTACCTTCGTGCGTAGCAACCAGATCATTTCACCTGTCGTCTCTACTTCCTGCTCAGGTACCCGGGCAGCTCCTGCCTCGCGCGGTGTACCTGTGATGAGCTTCCCTGTCCGCTGCTCACCTGGCTGAGCACAGAGCTGACGACTCTCTGTCCGGAGCTGCGAGGTTTGAGTTATAACCCTCTGTCTGTTGTGTCACTCAGGCATTTTAAGTCATCAGGTGGTGTTTCTTCTGAGTAGAATAAAATCCACATCTGGTTAGTTTTTAATAAACTGCCTGACTATGACCTGAGGTCTTTCACAACTTTGTCCAACTTTGTCCAAAACAAGCTTTGTATCCGTTACAGTGAGTGTGTAGAGGGTCGTGGTTTTGTATTTCTTCTTCTTCTATTGTTAAGATAGAATAAGTTAAATATGTATTCATCCCGAATGAATAAAAGTTGTTGTGTTAAGATGCTCAGTATAAAAATATATTTATTTATATAAATATTTACCATGTGTTCATGGTAAAATGAAGAAATCTGACAGCTTGACCAATTAAGGATTTTTTTATGCCAATATCAATATTTATAAATTCAAAAATTCTGATAGTGAGATATTGACAGTATTTTTTGTTGTTGCTGTTTTACAGAAACACATAACATACAGATTTTTAACAACATTTTTACAAGGATGCCTAAATGGTGTACCCAATATCCAATTTTATAGTTTACAATTAAACTTGTCGGTGAGTCCTCGTGGACGAGTGATGATGCTTTTTGAAACTACCTTAAACAAATATTTGGCATTCCTGTACTTTATTTTTACATATTGGCCAACATGTACTTCACATCAACACCAAAACATCTAAAATAGGCTAATATTGGCCCATACATCACTCTACCTCTAATAGAAAATGTTACTGTCCTGCACAGAATGGTTGTTGTGTTTTGTTAATGGTATTCTTCTGTACTTGTTACTTGTTGCTGCATTCATCTCAATATAAAGCGCTTGTTATAATGTGCTGTATATAAATAAAATGTATTTGTCTTTTCTTTTTTTTTAGACTCGAGCAGGACCGGTGACGTCTTGCTGGGGGGGGAGTTGAGAACTTTACTCTCAAACATGTTGTCTCCCCTCACTGTGCTGACATCAGAGGTGCTGGGGCCGTCAATCCTCAACAAAGTCACTGGTGAGAGACAACAGGAGTCTTGTGGGTTACGTTGTAGAGTTGTGTGTTTAAGGTTATATCAGATGATTGCAGTGCCCATGGATTTGTGCATTTCCTATCCCAACATTTTTGAATGAAGGGTGCTATCTTCTTAGACTGACTGTTCAATCCTTTTAGAGTTCCTTGTGTCAGAATTGCAAGCGGCTCAAATAATGAAGCGTAAGGAGTTGCATCCTGAGGAGAAAACAACCGGAGACGAGTCTGAAAAAGAGCAGCGAGTTAAAGATGACAGCCGTGAACTCACTGAGTTTTGTCAGGAAGATGAAGACGACGATGACAAAGACAGAAGGAAGATGGAGACGCAGGCAGAATGGATATTACTGCTGCACGCCCTCGACATGGACGCCTCCTTGCAATTTACCGACGTGTCGAGTGAGGTAAGTTTGCTGTAAGAGCGACTGAGATGTGTAGAAGTCATGACCACTGAGAAGCACTGAATGCTTTTTATAATGTTTTATTTATGCAGGTGGATTCGAGGCTCGCTCGTCTACCGTGTGGAGCGATGACAAACCCGCTTCTTAACACCAGCCTCAGCTCAGAGCAGTGGGTATGTTGCCAGGTTTACCAGATCATTACACATCATATGTGACTCCAACGTGAGCACTTCAACCTTTCTGTTTCTCAGGCGCAAGTTAAAAAGATCAATCAAGTTCTGTCAGAGGACTATCGCTGTCGGCGACAAATGATGATCAAACGCTTTCAGGTTACACTCGAGTCCTTCGCATGGGGAGAGAAACAAAAGGTAGGCCTCTTACATCATTTCATCTGTTCACAACTCAGTTATTTTAAGAGCAGTCGTAGCAAAGTGGATCATTTGTTTGTTGGGTTTTGTTCAGAGTCGTCTGCCCTCACGATGCATGAATCTCTTTTGGCTATAAAATTGAACGAAATAGCGAAAATTGTATCCAAGTTAATAAGAAGGTAAAATGTTTAGCGTGTTAGCATGCTAACATGTGCTAATTGACACCAAACACAAAGTACAGCTGAGGCTGATGGGAATGTCATTAGTTTTGCAGATATTTAGTCACAAACAATTGAAGAAATTGACCGTGGTGGCGCTAGTTGAATAGTTAAGCAATCAGCAAAGTTATTACAATTCATCCTGAGGGGAACATGAATGTCTGTACCTAATTCATGACAATCCCTCCAAAAGTGGCTGAGACATTTCACTCAAAACCACACATCCAATGTAAGTGGCACTACAGTAAAAGCCGGCAGGATCACCGGAGTCATCAGGCTTCATCAACTGAAGAACATCAATGTCTGCACAATCTGCTCTGTAGGTTAAAAAAACAATGTCTCTGATATTTCAGTCTGGATCAAAGCGCTGGACCGACCAACGTTATGTAGATAGAGACATCAGTTGACTAATCCTCCTAATCATCTCAGCTCTTGTTGAAATGTATCTCAACAAACATACCAGTTAAATCAGTTTTTTTTTTTATTTACAGGAGCGCAGTGAAGCTCTGGCCTCGATGCCTCCTCTTTCTTCGCTCTCCGGCTCCTCCCGAGTCTCCTCGTCTCTCCTGATCGCCGCCAGAGAGGATAAGTTCCTCATCGAGCCGATCAAGGCTGGAACAAGCACCCCCGTCTACAAGGTACACAGATAGAAAACTGTTCCTGTGATTCTGAATGAAGACATCGTAAGTGTAAAGTACAGATGGCCTCTAATTCCTCTTTGTTCTCACTAGATATTGATGGGCAGCGTACCAGACAGAGGAGGACGACCAGGAGAAATTGAGCCTCCTATGCCAGCGTGGACAGATCGAAGAGCGAAAGGAAACAAATCGGGACGAGGAGGTGGACAACATCCACGACAGAGATTCTCAGATAAAAAGAAGAAAGGGAAACACGAGTAACATGTCTTTCTCTTTCTGCTTAGTTTGAGAAATAAGTGATAATTTTTCTTTATTGAAATCCTTGTTATGAAATAAAAATGGCTGTGGAATGCTACATATGATATGATTTTATAGTTCTAAAGCTGTGCAACATTCTTAGTTATAGTACATATGCATACCTGTCTGTGTACTTTTCTAATATAGCTTCTCATTGCTATGATGTACTGGTATATTATCGGATATTTTTGTTGAGAAAATTAATACTTACTTAAATGTTTTTGTAAAGAATAAACCTAGTAAACAAATGTATTGTTGTTTTGTGTTATGTAATGTGCCATGTTGGTAATGCTGTTATGCTTATGACACTCTAGCAATATTGTTTTACTGTTTAATTACCATTTAATATTTAGGCTGTAGCTCTTGTTTTTAGCAAGAAAACATTACACTGATGTAAATGATATTCTCTTATATTAACTGTTTTTGCAAGACACCAGAGAAACTCATTGGTTTAGCTATATTTAGTTATGTTTAGCTGAATCTGCCTCCACAACATTCTTTCAGGAAATTGGGGAACTAAAGCACATCTTTTGAGTCAGTCTGATACAAAGTACATCTGTCCTACGGACATAAGGGCATTAAAACATTGCAGGTTAAGAACACGGAACATCATTATGTGTTGGAAGCAGAGTATTTCTGGTCCATTTGCCCAAATAGGACACATGCACGTTATGATCTTATTATTTTTTTATCCTAGTGTCTTGAAATTGGCCACCTGTGCCCTCAGCTTAGCCCTGATAGTCAAACTGAATTGCTATTTTGTTTTACTTTGTTATAGGAAATGCTGAAGAACTGTTGCAGTAATTTCTACAAGAATTAGGTATAAAACCAGGCAACCTCCCTAAACAATTAAGTGACAAGGCATGCTTGTAATGAGTGATTTGAAGTTTATAGGAGGCATCTGAAACACAGTGTGAGCTCCATATTTTTCAAAAACAGATATAATACTCAATATAATTTAAATAAATATGGAGCAGCCTACGGTTTACATTTCTTAAAAACATTTCTTAACTATTAAACAAAACAAACAATTGGACGGTGGGCACACCAGTTAAAAATACATAAACTATATATACATATTGAATACATAATTATGAAAATCTTCTTTAGGGTAAAGGAAATTAAGTTATTCCAATCAATAAATTACGAAATACATATGCATAGGTGTTACGTCCAAGTCTGTTCTCCCGTAGAGTGTCTCCCTCGTGTTAAAATGACAGTGCCCCCCTCGGTGGTTAGAGTTCAGGTTAGGGGGGGAATCATTGTTCGACACTACACCGGAAGTTATCCGACAGACAAATGATGTAACACACAGAAAGTTCCGGACTAGCGAACCTAAAGGTCGACATAAGGTAGCCTGCAGAACTGCGTTTTTATCAGCCAGAAAACTCACAAATATTACCAAGAATTAATAAAATGCCGAGAGGAAGCAGAAGCAGAACATCCAGGATGGCCCCTCCAGCCAGGTAACATTTAATAAACGTTTTTAAAACACTTTATTTAGGATGTTGTGTCGGCTGATGTAAGCTAGATTCTAACAAGTTTAGCTAGCTAGCCTAACAGTTAATGGTTCATGTTGGCTAGTGCTGCTCGGGGACATTATCTATTAGATTAGCAGCTAGAACTAACATAGAATGATTATTTTTGAACGTCTTAATGTCTTTTTGTACCAGCAAAGTGATGATCGCTCAGAAGTCATTAAGTAATGAAGGTTACAATGTGTAATCTACGTCATGGTCTTTTAATGTTGCCTGTTATGTGACATCACAACGTCACAATTAAACATGTTTTAAACTGTCTGGATTTACATCAAACCATAGGCAGCTAGGATCAGTTTCCCTTTTGACCAGAATACAAATTCAGACTTTTTCTGAGACTTTATTTTTTACTTAAATTATTTGTCCTTATATCCCCATCACTTATACTAACTAAATAAGAATTTGCGTGATTTTTTTTTATTATGTTACCCACATCTAAGGTTAGTTTAGTAAAATAATGTCATAATTTCATTAAAGCTTTCGGACTCTAGATACTAAGCCTCTATTGCCAAACTGTCCTGAGGAAACCTCCTATCGATAACCTCAAGTGACACCATATGCTCGTACCACATAGAGTTTTCACTCTGACTTGTTACAGCACTGATATTTAATACTTCTTTCTATCACTCTGTTGCACACTTTAAATAGCTTTTGTACTGTAATAGTCTTTTTTTCTCGAGAGTTGATGTTTTCTTGTAATTTGAAACTAATTTAAACTAATTTCAAACCGCCACTTGCAGGTTGTGCCAGCTGTTAACATTCCTGTATTTCAAATTATTTTCTCTTTCCAGCCGGGCCCCACCACCACAACCTATGGCCAGGGCTGCATCCCCTCCCTCCTATGCCCCGGCTCCAATGCATGCCCCTCCATCTGCTGTGGGTGCTCCAGCCTCAGCGCCCAAGCAGCCTGGTATGTTTGCCCAAATGGCGACTACAGCCGCTGGAGTGGCGGTGGGCTCGGCGGTGGGACACACCCTCGGCCACGCCATGACTGGAGGCTTCGGTGGAGGAAACTCGGAGCCGGCCAAGCCCGACGTCACATACCAGGTAAATAAACTGTGGACTGAAATAGCCTCAGGGCAGATTAGTGTCTGATGTGTCTGACCCGTGGAAAAGGAGGCAAAGTAGTGATCACTACCAAAAGATTTAAATCCGGTAATTGGGGATTACGGATTACTGTGAACCATCTACATAATCATACTATTACCTTTACCTGGGTATATCCACAGGTATTAATGTACATGCGTGCCGACTGATTCCAGTGTGCTCCCACTTTTAATTTAAAACATCAAGCGGAACATGTGAAACGCATTTATCTTTGCACGTGAGACGTCTTCAGACGTTTTGACACTTGCATAACATATCACCATGTTAGTCATTGCAACATTTTATGGATGAATGTGTTATTTTACTGGTTGCACTGGCAAGAAGATATCACTTTTATCACTGTTTTACGTTTGAAACAAATGACAGAAAAATCAAAAACTCAAAATACCCATGCCGACTATAGATGTATGAAGGATCCCATCATCTGCCTCGTGTCTTTCAGGAGCAGCAGCAGCCCATGTACCAGCAGCAGCCACAGTCCATGTACCAGCAGCAGCCCCCTCAAGGGCAACAGGCCTGCTCCTATGAGCTCAAACAGTTCATCGAGTGTGCCCAGAACCAGAGCGACTACAAGCTCTGTGAGGGCTTCAGTGAGGTGCTGAAACAGTGCAAGTTCTCTAATGGTGAGTACAAAGAGGACTTGTAATACATTAGATGACACGTGGGTTCATAGCTTGTTAATAAGTGGTTATGGCAGTCAAAGAGTGCAGTCTTGCACCACTAATGTAATAATAGAGTTATCATTTTTATTTCACTGTTTTGAAAGACTCACAGTCTTGTATTTTAACTGATTGATCCATTGTCTCTGCAGTCTTGTTGTTCTTTTTACACTTGATTAAAAACGGCCAAATACGGAGGTCTTTGCATGAGCACTTAGTCATTCAGACGTCATAGCCAAATGACTTTGCATTATGTCGTCATGGGTCTTATGTAATTTGTTGCAATACACAGTGTGGCCATAAGGAGGCGTAGGTTTAAAGGCTTTCTGAGTGTATTATATAACTAGCTTTTTTCCCTTGTACTATAGGATTTTAAAAAAATGATTAGAAGTATGAAAAGTTGTCTAATTAATCTTTTCTTTTCTCCACAGGTCTATCATGAGACTGAGACAAAGCCCTGGAGAGTGAAGAGCACACACACAAACTGTAATGAGCCACCACGCTGGATGAATACTAGGAGTGTTTTAAGAGATCAATAAACGTGCTTTATTTTGACAGCTGATCATCATTAGACTGCATCATTGTGTTCATTCTCAGGACAGTGCTGCAGAGTTTGTAATAATAGTCGTATAAATAATGTTTATATGTTTTGCTGCATTTTGATTTGAGTTGTTGTCATCAGTGGTTTCCATTATCTTCAGTGCTTTTAATTTATATCGATGAACTGCACTTGTTTTTCCATCCTCTGGCTCATCGATGTATGCGGTTTGTTTGCAACATGTTTAGATTAACAAATAATAAAGCACTTCAATCATAAAAACCAGTGTGAGGTGTTATGATCTATTTCACTGCCTGTTAGATGTTACTGGACTTTCAAAGAAACGTTGCTATTTTTACATCTACTTCCTTTAATTCGATGCCACAGGGGCCCAGCACCTGTCCAGTCACTCCGGTCTGAATGCACACACGAGTTTAATGTTCTGTGGAGAGAGTGCTGCTGGTGATGTAGGACACCTCTCTCTCTCTCCCTCTCTCTCTCTCCCTCCCTCTCTCTCTCTCTCTCTCTCTCTCTCTCTCTCTCTCTCTCTGAATGACTCGAGGAGAGTGCAGGAGCTACGGGGTGTTGCTTCATGGATCTGGTTTTCGTGCACACACGCGTTCAGAGTGTGCTGCTGCGGAAGCATCTGTTTATTTTTGGCGTCTGACATTAAAGCTTCACCCTTTTGCGATGGCGGCCCCGCCCCGCAGAGCCGGGACAGCACCGGGGTTTGACCGGAGACTCTTTGTCCGTCCTCTGACGCTTAACGAACACACCGAGTGATTGTGATGGATAAACCGTAATAACGGGGACTGACCGACACGGGACAAGGTGAGTGACAGGCGCTTTTGTCATTATTCTTCTTAAATGCGTTAAAGCTTATTACTGGAGCCCGCAAAAGGTCAAATAGTGACAGAGGACGAGAGGGTTCTCACGCTGTGGCAAATGGCTTTATTAGTCTAAACCACGTGATGTGTCGGCAATGACATTAAGTCTAGATCCAAGACCGTTAATTCGCTTATTATCTGTGACAATCAACACGAGTGAGACGGAGCTTAAACACAACTGTAATATTACAAAGAAAACCGTGGAAGAGGTCGTTCCATTCATACTAATGGAGTCTAGGTAACACAATTCATTCAGTGTACATCTTGAAACTCTTTCATTGTAAGAAGAGTGAAATGTGCATTAAATAAATCACAGTATACTGCAGGAAAGCCCAGGTGCTCCTCAGTCACGTATCTGTATGTCTCTCAATATGCTTGAGAGTTCCATTGAATCTATTAAAATTAATTTCGACTGCATTGCATGTGTTTATTGTTGATATGGACTCGTTGCTTTGCAGATTAGGATGTTACCAACCATATGATCGGTTTATAAAACGTGATGTATTTTTATATATTTAATTTTTTTCCTGTTTATTTATAAATTCTGTGTATGTACGTGGAGAGCAACGAAAAACCGGAGTCAAATTCCTTGTATGCGTAGGCATACATGGCCAATAAATCTGATTCTGATGTATTGTTGCAGTTAATCTGCGATAAGTGATTATTTTCATGAGAAGAGCTGAAGAGCTCATTTGACATTTCTGCATAACGTGACTGAAATAAATCCAATCAGCAATGATAATCAATTCAAATAACAATACAGGGCTCCTCCTGATGTACTTTAAATAGTGTGTTGTGTTCATTGAAAGTACAAACTGTTTCTGTCAGCGACCAGCTGTGAGCTGTGAGAGGAGAGCCATCATGACCAAAGACCAGGAGGTCCCAGACTGGGTGGGAGCCCAGGAGTTCTATGAGAAGTACGAGACCAAGGAGATCCTGGGAAGGTATGTTCATAAAGACTTTAATTAGCCCGGAGCAGAGAAGAAGCAAAGTACAGTAATCCTTTAAAGGGGTCACAAGTCAACATGCTGTGAACAACTGGCCCACAATTATCTTTGGCACACATGTTTTAATTCAAAATACTTTCCAGTTTTCTAGAATTCTTTTCTAAAAACAGCTCAACTTGTTAGTATTGTTTATCTGATTGAGACACTGATGTGGAAACGAGCTGAATGGTTTCCCAGGAGTTTCCCAGAAGTCCCCCTGGGAAATGTCAGCAGTGCCAGAGCTTTCTTCCTCATCGTCATTCACCACCATCTGTCAGACGGTGCTGTTACATAACACACACAGTGTTCTGGGAGGCCGCTTTCTGTTTTGGACAACGGTCTTAGTGTCGAGAGCTGCCCTGGATTGGACGGCACCCTGTCGGATGACGTCATTTCACTTCCTTTCTAAACATGCAGGTCACGAGGTCACCAGATTCGAACACTGTGTTCAGCTGCTCGAGTACTCTTCACGTGGCTCAGTGAGCTTCACAAACAGAGGATGGAGAGTCACTTTGGTTCCCTCTAAATGGACTTCATAAATAGAAATTACAATGAGATTAGTCTTTGACTTTATGCTTATCACATCAAGATGAGGCACATCTTCCACAGGTAACGGAATATTATATAGGATGAATATGGAAAAACACATCCAAATATTTTCCTCACACACACGTCTTTGAGTCCAGCTGTTCAAACACAACCCTCTGATGAAATAAATGACCTGACAGAGCTGTAGATGTCAAGTGCTTTCTCTTCCTCAGGGGAGTGAGCAGCGTGGTGCGTCGCTGCATCAACAAAAGGACGTCTCAGGAGTTTGCGGTGAAGATCATCGATATCACCCCCTCGGACAAGACGACCCCGGAGGAGATCGAGGAGATCAGGGAGGCGACTGTGAAGGAGATCGACATCCTGAGGAAGGTCTGCGGACAGGACAACATCAGTAAGCTTTGAATTCAAACTGTGTGCATCAGCAGCTTTATTTAAACGTGAATCTACGATAAAAGTCTCAGAAAGCCAAAAGAGCTTCGTCTGGCCTTTGTCTCACTAACCTGCTCAAGAGGTCACTTGTGGTCGGTGTTGGCCTTGGCCCTCGCCTATCAGGTGACCTCTTAGTTGTGTCCGTCTTCATTAAATACCGAGTGTACCTCAAATGTCTCTGTCTCCTCTCCAGTACAGCTCAAAGACTGCTATGAGTCCCACGCCTTCTTCTTCCTGGTTTTTGACCTGTAAGTGTCAAGTTTTCGACAACTGAGTTAAAGCAGAAATTCAAGCGAGAGGCTGCTGTTCAAATGTTTTGTTTTCTTTCCCGCAGGATGAAGAGAGGGGAACTTTTTGACTACCTCACAGAGAAAGTTACTCTGAGTGAGAAGGAAACCCGGTCAGTGAGAGTGTTCTATCACTATTGGGCCTATCTACTAAGACGAAAGCGATGAATTGTCCTAATATTCTTAAAAGACCTTTCGAGTTTGGTGTTTGTTGGTTTTAGGAACATCATGCGTGCTCTGCTGAAGGTGGTCCAGATCCTCCACGGCCAGAACATCGTCCACCGGGACCTGAAGCCTGAGAACATCCTTTTAGACGACCAGATGAACATCAAACTCACCGACTTTGGCTTCGCTGTGCAAATCCAGCCGGGACAGAGGCTCAAAGGTCGGTGAAAGCTGACATGGAAACCAACCAGCAAACATTATTACATTATCTGAATACAAAAACTATCACACTGACGTATTCAGAGCAGAAAGTCCCATCAGCTGCAGATATATTTGTTTCTATGTTTAAAACCTTCAGTGCTGTAACAGCAGCTGCTGGTGGTCGGCAGAGAATCTAGGTCTGGTTGCACGACATGCTCCCGTCTCCCTTAGCTGCTCTTACAAAGGTTAAGAAGCAACAGGACACTCAGATATACTTGCTGTATACTCAGAGCACACACTGACCTTTCAAATAAGACTCAGAGAGCATCAGATCATTATTGGCAGCTGGGGACTGGCAAGTCCAATGTCTCATGGAACTGTGCATGCCCGTATCATTTTGTTTAGTTGGTAAATATGATCAGCTTGGATTACCTCCACTAGGCTGTAGATCTATTTCAGAAAATCTACAGTAACCATGCAATACATGATCTGAAAGTGGCCTTCAAAATAAACATCTGAATGCAAACTGTGGTGAATAATTTCAAAATGTTCTCAGATGTAGGTAAATGGTGTTATGCATATTGATGTTCTACTTGGAGCCACTTGTTGAAAGTAATTACAAGTACTCAAGTTACTGTATTTGTGGGTTAGATAGTTAAATAGTCATAATGTGATATCATAATTGTCTTAACTCCTTTTGCTTGGATAGGAAATACAGAAAAGCCTACATTTATGCTTTTATGGCTCAGGAGTTTGCTTCACACACATTAGATGATCTCTGAGAAACTATTTTGTGAAAATAGTTCCTAATTTTAAATGCATTGCTGTTTTGGAGAGGAATTGGCTGCAAATGTTGTTGTTTTTCCTGTTTTCTGTTTTGCAAAGCACTTCAAGTCACGGTCAGGAGAGGTGCCATTAGCCTGCTACTTTAAATACTCTTCAATAGAAGAACTAATGTACTTTTGTTTAATTAGTTTCCAAAAGGTAGTTCCATAGTACTGCTACTGGAGTATTGGTATGACGGCTGTGGCTCAGGGTTTAGAGTGAGTCATCCTTTAATCACAAGGTGGGCGGTTTGGTCCTCGGCTCCTCCTGTCCGCATGTGGAAGTCTTCATAGGGATGGGTTAAAGGTCAAAGTTCATGTATGTATGTGACGATTGAAGTAAAGTTACATTTTTGGGGAAATTCTTGTACTCCTTCCACCAATATCCATCAGATTGACATGAAATCTCTTTTTGTGGTGAAACAGTTTTTCAAGCTTTGTCAATGTGGGTTTTATATTGAACAAGTTTGATGCGTCTTGTGATGCAGAGGTGTGTGGGACTCCTGGTTACCTCGCTCCTGAGATCATCGAGTGCTCCATGGACGGAGGGCACACAGGATACGGTACCGCTGTGGACATGTGAGTGGGCAGAGACAAAAAAAATCAAATGACACAGCAGAAAGTTATCAGATGTATAAACTAAACAATATAAGCAACAAAGCTGTTGTATTAACAAATGACTAAATGATGATTTTTCTCCTGGTTTACGCCTGCAGATGGAGTTCAGGGGTGATCATGTACACGCTACTCGCAGGCTCTCCGCCCTTCTGGCACAGGAAACAGATGATGATGCTGCGTATGATCTTGTGTGGGACCTACGACTTCTCGTCTCCAGAGTGGGAGGACCGCTCAGACACCGTTAAAGATTTGGTAAGCTCCTGCTGGTTTGACAAAGTACTGATATCTCTTATGACAGTTATATGAAGCTGCTACACGGTTTTAATTACAGAAGAATTAAATAAATCCCTCTGTGCGGTTTCCTCAGATCACCCGGATGCTGGTGGTGGACCCAAAGCAGCGATACACAGCTATAGAAGTCCTCAACCACTCGTTCTTTTCTCAGTATGTGGTGAATGAAGTGCGGAAGTTCACTCCATACAGGCGATTCAAGGTGAGATGTAAAAGACTTTTACTCAAATTCTCAATTCAATTCCCGAACACACCAGCAAGGATAGCTTTCAAACTGTCATACCACACAATGATTGGAAACTTTGATTAAAATATATATACGAAAAGGAAGTGTTCACTTTGATCTCAATCTAATTCCAAATTGGCCTCGGGTCACTTTTCATTACAGAGTTAACTTTAAATTTCTTTCAAAGATTATTTTACAATGTATTGGTTCATGAAAACACCTGTGTGGGTGAAGGATGGGTGTGTATGGGGTCTTGTACCAAAACGTTAAGGTGAGGGGCAAGTACACTTTCCCCACATTTAATATACCCTTAGTGCTCGAGTGAACTTTCCCCCGATTTTCCTCTTTCAGGTCATTTGCATGACCGTTCTCGCAACGATGCGAATCTACTGTAACTACCGGCGTGCCAAGCCCGTCACCAAGGAGGTGATCAAGAGTGACCCGTACGCCATCAAGCCCATCCGCAAGCTCATCGACGCGTGTGCATTCAAGATCTACGGCCACTGGGTCAAGAAGGGACAGACTCAGAACAGAGCAGCACTTTTCGAGAACACTCCCAAGGCCATCCTGCTGTCGATGGCTGCCGAGGCCGACGAGCCGGTCCACATCATCTGGTAATGAGCACGCGTTCCTCGGGATGGGAGTGATGCTCTATACTCAGCTTGTGTTGTATAAAGGAAGTGAACTGGTAAAATATAAAGAACTACCGCCAGACCAGGTTAACTTAAGTTTGTCTTAAATGTGGAGAGCCTGTTGTGCTCATGAATTTCAACATGCAGCATTGTTGGATTGATTTGCCTAAAGAACTGCCAAGTGTGGCAAACAAAACATCTGCAACATCACCACTGTTCACTTGTTTTCTGTCCTAAATGTTGATTGAATTAACAGATTTACTGGTAAAATGGCAGGTTAGAGTAAATATTGAATGTCCCAAGAACCCATTCTCAACTGTTTTGACTGGAAATGGACATTCTTTGACGCCTGGAATGGATTGTTTTTAATGACTATGCATAAATCTCCATTTTCAAACAGACAGTAGTGTTTCACATTATCTTTTACTGTATAGATAGTTTATTAATCCCGTAAGGGGACATTTTTTCACTACAGCAGCATTTGTTTAAGTGTTTGTTTTGTTCAAGGTTAGAATATAGATTCAATTTTTAAATTATCGCATTCATAAAATCACTTGGATAAGCATTATGCCAACTCTTCTCAATCTGTCATTGTCAGGACTGACAGCAAAAGCAAACCTTGTGGAAATAATATTTAACAGATTTGAATAAGCAGTGAACCTGCATACTTGAAATGGCATGTACTGTATAACTATTTGATTACGCAGGATGAACCGCACTAAATTACGTTACTGTGATGTTAACAGCTTCAAGGGACGGTTTAATTATTAGCACTTTAAAAAGAATGCTATGGATTTATTTATTAAAATATGCATTTCATTTAAAACCCCAAGTCTTGTTATTGTAAAGTGTCAGACCTTTTGTGGTGCTTATGAAATTTAAGATATCAGGAGTCTGTGTTTTTTTTGTACAACTTTAAGCAGAATATAGAAAGCTAATACACAAGACCAGTTTTGACCACTTTTACAAGTTTATTACAAAAGAAGAGTGGGGTACAGCTTTAAAGTACAAACAACCATCTGAGGGCAGGTGGAGCTAGTTTTCAGCACAAGACACTGCTTTCCCTCGTGGAGCTGCAGGTTGAAAAAAAAAAAAAAAAAGAAGAATTTAGAGTTAAAATAAAATCACAGCGAGAGGTTGATAGGTATTTGGATATTTCATCATCATGTTCTTACCGTGAACAAAAGGAGTCGACTACTTTTCTCCTGTTCCTCTTCAGAAGTAGCCACTGCAGAATTTAGAAAATAAAGATGAATACGAAAAACAAGCCCTGAATGGTGGTCGAGCAGCGTCTTCATTTTCTAAGTGTATTATTGTACTCATTCCTGGACAGTTGGATGAGGCCGAGGGAAGCACTCACCCAGTCATTATGCAGAAATGTGACTAGGCTTTTGCATGGTGTCTGGCTGTATCCACCACAGACAAGCTGGAACAGAATTCGTCCATGCCTCAGTGGCGACTTAATCACCGCTAGGAATACTAATTATGCTGCATGTCGGTGTATAACAGTGTGCGTGCAAACGTACCATCCTCGGGCCTTTCAGTTGTAGCAACAACCATGCTTCTTTAGTGATCAGTACCAAGGGTGCATTACTGCACTTCTCCGCAAATACATATTCTGACGAATGCTGGAACAAAAAAAAAGAAGTACAATAGAGGCTATGAGATGAATTTGTCTGACATGTTATTGAGCTTGTGTATTCTCACACAAGCAAGACATTGTAAGATGGTAATGCTTAACAATGCTTTTGGTAAAATATCTAAATGAAGGGCTGCATGAGTGATCAATAATAAATAGTTGCAGCCTTGTAAGAGTCGTATTCAAAAGAGTTACATATCCAAGATAACCACGTTTCTGTATTCACTCTGACGTAAGAATGAGGCACATAATTAGCACTCATTCTGTTGTTGAGTCAGTGTGTGAAAACAATACTTTGGCATGGTGTCTGGCTGCATTTACTACTTCAAGAGTAAAACAGAATTTGGCCATGCATTCAAATACACGTTACTGTGAAGTATGAGTTACCTCTCCGCGTTTCCACTCTTGGCCACATATGGATCAATAATCCCATCTTCAGACACGGCATCTGTAAGAGAGATCATTTCTGAGAGTCAACACCTCTACTAGGTCATTGGGGCTGATAAGTGCTTGTTTTTCATATGCATTGAGCAATTTCTCCTTTACCGACGATGAACATTCATAACATGTGTGCTCCATATTCTATGATTGATGCACAGATAGAAAGACATATTCACTTAAATTGCCTTCTGAAAATATAAGTGCCTTCCATTAGGTGTCCAGTGGGCCTACCTGCACAATAGCAGGGCCTCCCCTAAGTGGAACACTGCCATCACGAATGTCATTGAATACATCTGTGTTGTTCCTACTGTGACATGTCAAAATGTCTGCATTGTGTCTATTGGCACACATTCCCAGTGTTTAATCCTTATCTTCCAGTACAATGATGAACGTATATCTCCTCACCTCTGCCACGTGGTGTGTTTCAGGCTGGGAGCTCCTCCATGATGAGTCAGGTCATCTCCGCCAACGTTCCTGTGCAGTTATCACAAACTAGTTAACATAATTAGCATAATTCATACACACACCAAAGTAGGTTATCTTAATTTACTACTCAAGTTGAAAGTCTAGTAACACAACTTTACTCTCTAGGCCCCATCTTTGGTAATACAAGTAATTATCTATGCGAATAACTATTAGTTTCGTCACGTTATAACGAAAAGTATATTTACTATCTGACTAATCAACCGTTTTCCTTCAGACATCCACGCTCACCACCACGTGCTTTCCACGTCCACACGCAAAACCATTATAACAAAATGCATTCAGACTGATTCTTGCTAGCTAGGATTACCTGTAGCGTGACAGAGTTGTGGGCTCAACTTTGTACTTCTGTTCCCTTTAAAACCTAGTTCCGTTTTAGTGCCAACCTGGACGACGGAGAGCGACATTTTATCTATTTACGAGGGTCTATATGCTGCTGGCCGCTGACTTCACTGCGGACCAGCCTGAGAGCGTCGTCCACTAAGTAGCACAACGCTTCCTCGTTTTCTTCTTCTATGGTTGTTAATAGCGGTCGGCATCCAAAATGTTGCTTTGCCGCCACCTACTGGATTTAAACTCAAATATCTGCTTACTAAATACAATACTAAATATATTATTGTATCTGCTTACTAAATACAATACTAAATATATTATTGTATATTCCTGCTAGTTGATTAGCCTCCTTGTCAATGTGAGCTATCATATAAATAACCTTGATAACAATTCCCAGTTTTTGATACAGTGTCAAACTGAACATACAGTACTTCCTCCAGCTTATTACAGCTACTATAAAGTACTAAGTATTTGAATACTACAATATTCTTTTGGATGCATCTGTATTTGAGTATGATTGTTTTAGGATTGGGCTGTACTGTATTTCCTTGATACTTTACGTGATTGACTCCTTCATTGCTGCTTGGTTGGGACATTTTATTTAAATAAAATTAGCTGGGCAAAGAAATAAACAAATTACATGGGTGGCTGTTGGCTCCATTTGCTTTAAACATGGGCAAGAAAGAATTACTAAATTTTCAGAGGGTATGCAGTTATTATTTTCTCTAAACTGACATTTTGCCAGTAAATATGTAATTTTAATGTATGTACGTAAAGCAAGTAAAGTGTTGTACAGTGACATTGTTACAGTAATGGTTCTGCTAAGTGGGTATAGCCTACTGTAGCCTATAATATTAGAATTTTGACCAAAAATGCCTAACCAACTGGCAGAGGGCTGGTGGGCGGTACCTCACCGGCTTCTCTCTGATTGGTCCAGAGTTCAGCAGCTCTATTCTCGTCATGGAAGCTCCAGTGCGTAACTGCCGTTAGTGCCTTACCAACACTCTTACCACCAGCAAGCACCACACCACAAATTTAACCATTTTTTCGAAGACATTAGCGTGGCGTGGCAGCCTGCGTTATTTACGGTCGACAGTTGAACCGCGGGTGTGTGTGAAGCGCTCTTATCAAGCAAAGTGGACTGCGACGGACAGGTAAGGTCAACTCCACATCCTGTCTGAGCTACCGGTTATTCGTAGCGTAAAGACGTGACGTACTTTTATTCCTAAAGGAGCACTGGCTGCTCGTTTGACCGAGTTTAATCGTCTTGACGTTTATATTTTGGTTTTTTCTGGTCTCGCCTGCCTGAGGTCCTCTGCAGTGTGCGTCGGGGTGACGCAATCCGTGCAGAGGATGTCCATCGCAGCCTCGATGGTTTGTTTAGGCTGTTTTATGTAACGCTTCTTTCTTTTATTTTTTTTCTCGCATACCACCGAACCGGGACACGTGTTTAATTTGAGGTCCGTCGATGCAGACATGTTTGCACATATTTCAGTCAAAGGATGCATTTCCTGCTTCACTGGACAGAAGACAAACCACTGCACACACGGTTTAGTTTAAATTAAATCATGCAGCTGCTGGGGAAAATCCCAGACATCACGTTTAACCAACCAATTCAGCGTTATACGTCCTTTTAGTGTTTTTATACTGTGTACTTTTCTTTTTCCAGCATGATGCCAACTCTTTTCCAGACAAAGGAAGTGTTCCGGAGAGCAGAAGCTGTCTGTTTTGATGTGGACAGCACAGTCATCAAAGAAGAAGGCATAGATGAACTTGCCAAATTTTGTGGTGTGGGGGATGCAGTCACTGAAATGTATGCATATAAATGTTGTCAACATCACCATTGACATGCACTGAAAAGTACAACCATATTTTGATGTTATCTCTGGATTTGTTGTTGAAATATTATGCAAACGTGTTGCTGTTTTTCACAATTCAGGACTCGGAATGCTATGTGTGGCTCAGTGACATTTAAAACAGCCCTGACTGAGCGTCTTTCCATCATCCGATGTTCCAGGGAACAAGTGAACAAACTGATCACGGATCACCCACCTCAGCTGACTCCAGGTATCAGGTGAGTGTGTGATGATGTCATTCAGTGGACCTGGATTTACACCCAGTACAGAAATATCGTTGTGCACGGGAGTACTTTTAACCAACTATTTATGGTAAAGAACCCTCTGGCTATAATGCTACAGTGCTTTATGACTGTAGCCATTTAGCACAGAGAATGAAAAACGATACTCTTTTAGGAAAACTCAAATATTATATCTTATTTGTATCTCTGGTGTTTATAAAAGAAAAACGCAGGCTTCAAACCTTCCAACACAGAATGGTCATCCAGAGTCAGGATGGGTTGTATTTATAGACGGTGAAGTGGAAGTCTTCTTTATTAGATACTAGGGGTGGGAATCACCAGAGATCCCGCGATATGATAGTATCACGATACTTGGGTCACGATACGACATTATCACGATACTGCGATATTATCACGATACTGCGATATTCTGAGTATTGCGATAACATAGGCCTATATTGCGATTTATTACTTTTTTCAACTTCAAATTATGTCCGCAAAGGAAAACTGTGTCAACATGTTTTATCTAATAAGTTTTCAGTCTATTCATCTCACTTCAATCATTTTTATTGCAGCAAAATAGGATTGTCAAGCAGACAGACTGACCAACAATGTCATAAATGTTGCATGAACCTGACAAACTGAACTGTTTGTATTGCTACATAGTCCAACTTAACTAAATGCAAACGTGTGGACTCAGTATAACTTGCGATGCGTGGACGTCAAGGGCAGAGAGCCAGTTATGCGCTGCTCTCTCCCCATGAGCCTGGCTACTGTTGGCAGATTTTACCCCGTTGTGAGGCCAGATGTCTCTATCTTTGTTTTGACCAACTTCCTACCAATCATGCTGACCCGGGACCTTTCCTGACCTCACCAGAAAACAACTCAGCACCATCTAGTGGACTGAAAAAGTAATTGATTTGATTTTTCTAGTAATTGTTTTTTTTTTTAATAGTTTATATAATAAAAGATCGATACTTGGTGTCCGTGTAGCGATACAATATCGCCACGCAAAATATCGCGATACTATGCTGTATCGATTTTGTCAAAAGCTACTAGTGACAAATCTAGCGACTTGTTCTGGTGTTGTTGGAGACTTTCCTGGTGTTTTGACTCTGACGTGAAAGCACGTACGTTCTGCACTGTCGTGAACGAGCAGCGGGTGCTGCCGTGAGCCCCTCCGCCGCCCAAAAGCAGTCACAGGCGGGTCCTCTCACAGAAGCCTCGCGCAGCAGTCAGAGCAGAGAGGAGACGCAGTCTCGGCGTATTCTCTGCAGTTAGTGTATTTACAGGTGTTGGCTTCATTTTTACACGAAACAAATAACCGTAGTTGTGTTTCAGCTGCAGGACAGCAGTGAAGGCCCAGGTATAAAATGCACGGCCCGCCACTGTCCATTATACAAAAATGTAAGTGAAAACTTTATCAAAATTGAATGTCGATAAATGGCCGTTCCTTTTCATCCAGGGAGCTTGTGGACCGTCTGCACCAGCGAAACATAAAGGTGTTCCTCATCTCCGGTGGATTCAGCTGCATCGTTGAACACGTGGCCACTCAGCTAGACATTCCCCTGCATCATGTTTACGCCAACCGGCTCAAGTTCTACTTCAATGGTAAGAGCTCGAGGTGACTTTTTGCTTTTTCTTTTTTTTTTTTTAAGAGTGGAAAATTGTGAGTGTGTCTGTCTTGAAGAATAAGTGTATGAAAAAAGCCCAGAGTGGATTGACGAGGCTTGAATCTTTTTAGCTGATATCAAAAGATGCTTAGCTTCGTTCAAAACCGTCCTTTAGATCTCTCTAATCTCCAATCTGTGTGTTATCCAGGAGAGTATGCTGGTTTTGACGAGAGCCAGCCCACAGCCGACACTGGTGGAAAAGGAAAAGTCATCAATATGTTAAAGGAGCAATACGGCTTCAAGACTGTGGTGATGATTGGAGATGGAGCGACTGATCTAGAGGCATGCCCTCCTGCTGTAAGTGTACACACTGCGCTACTTAAAACTCTCTCTGTCTTGGTGTTCCGGTGTGATTACAGTGTCGTCTCTTACATCCTCAGAGTGCTTTCATTGGATTCGGTGGGAACGTCATCAGGCATCAGATTAAGGAAAAGTGTTCGTGGTACGTGACAAGTTTTGGGGAGCTGCTAAAGGAACTGGAAATGATTTAAAGAAGCTACAAGAGTACTGTTACTAATTTTTAACATTTTATATATTGCATCTATGGTTGTGCCTGTTTATTTGGTTCCTGCACATTTTCCTTCTACTCGATAGACTTTTATAATGAATGAAAATGTTTACATTAGCGAGACAAATGTTACTTTTGTACTAGAAAACACTAAAATAATAACACTGTTCATGTGGAGGTTTAGAAGATTTGAGTATTTTTGCACAGTGTAGTCAAACCCTTTAGGTAAGCTAATACAACTCATGCGTATTGTTACGCAATGGGCAATATAAATTTTATTTCTATGTAACCAGAGTCTGACTGTTAAGTCATGTAAAGAATATCTGCATTAAACATGAGAACATGCCGTCAAAGAAGTTGTTTGAACTGCTTTAATCTGTGTCCTTCCCTCCACACTGTTCCCGATGAACAAACAAGATAAACATGCTTCCTTTGACAATAAAATGACTGCCCACTTAGCCACTGATGGACAGTGATAGTTGTGCCCCAATAAAACAGTTTCTTAAACTAGGCATGCTGTCTTCACGAGGAAAAAGGGTAGAAGCCATAGTTACAAACACACTACCATGAAACATGACAGGGAACATAGGAACATCCAGAAAAAACAATTGAAAAGAGTAGTTTGCCAAAAAAATGTGATTTATAATAGACCTCAATCAGATACAAAATTATGAGATTTACATAATGTCATACTTTTATCAGCTTCATGATTAGCAACAGAAATCTGAATATACAGAGGCATTCTCTCACTTCACTCAGCACATTTAATAAATAAATAGTTACTATTATTCCCATCTGTCCCCACACAGCTGCTCATCTTTTCAAGTAACTTTGGTTGGTTCTAAACTTAGAGATGGAGTTCTCTAGAAGTTCCGACATAACAACCATCAGGAGGTTTTAATTGGCCAAATTTACTCTACCTCAAACTGTTAAAGACGTTGTGCATTGCCCTCAAGTGGTTTTGACTATTTTGATTGCTGACACATGGCAGGCATTGTTGCGTCCTCTGTCCTGGTGACATCCTGAAGTGATAACACGAGGACAAGAAAAGAAGGGATGTTGTTTGGCAGCACTGACGGGGGGGTTGAAACAATGGAACTGATGCAACATTCAAAAAGGGGGACCACTTGCTTCCAGCTTAGCTCTCATTTCACTGCAGAGGGGAAGCCTTCGTCGGGATCATAATCCTGGAATCCATATGTTGAATGAGAGGAACTGGAGAGGTGGAAAGATTCAAAGTATTTTTGATATTGATCAGGTTCAGCAAGTTCAACATGTTACACAAGACAAGATTCCAGTCACACAACTATGATCATCACCTCTTTGTTTAGTAAGGGCTTGTCTTTGCTCACCTGTGTAATACACCACCTCGTCCCAGCCCTCCTGCTGCCAGGCGCCGCTCCTCGTGTCTTCTCTGGACTGGAGGTCTTTGTAAGCTGTAACCAACAGATCACACGATATAGCACTGCTCATAGTAAAGAGATTCACTGCAGAGTCGGTAGTGTCGTGGAAATTTATCATATGGTTCTTTTAGTTATAACTTGTATCGCTTAAACCTGCATATACCACCCTAACCCTCTTCCCACGAAAAGGCTGGGAACCTGGCCTTGGTGGGTGCAGCAGCCGAAAACATCTGCGAGGGGGAGGGTGAAGGGAGAGGAGACGAGATAACGCGCTTATATACTCCGTTTTGTCTATTCATTGTTGTTGGACCTCCGAACCATCCGCGGGGAAAGAGCTCTATCCATTCAGCTGAATTATTATTGAAGTGTCTGTTCATTAAATATGTTTTTAATACTTTAAGAAGTTTCCATCGCGATCATTTCTCACAGGGAGGTTAAAAAGATTTTTTTTCCACCACAGGTAGCAGTTTTGCTGAATTTAGTGCTGCAAGTTACAATTATTTTCTTTATCCATTAATCATTAATAATGTAAAATGACCAATGTGACAACTTTAAATGGCTGTTTTTTGTCCAGTCAACAGTCCAAAACTCAATATAGAACAAAGAAAATCTAATTTTACTTTACAAATGACTTAAACAATCAATTATCAAAACCGTTGTCGACTTATTTTATGTGAAACTACTAGCATGTTTATCTGCGAGGCGACACTGTCGGTAAGTAATTGTCCATGGAGCTGGAATCTGAACGTACCCCAGAGGTGATGAACCATATAGAGGTTCCCGATCTGTGAGAAAAACCCTCCCACAGCTTCTCTGTTGTGCTGGCGGTATCCAATGGCTCTGGCCCTGCAGACAACAACAACTTATGTCACAAAGCAGCCCAACACCCAACAGGGCTGCATGTGGCATGAAAAGGAGAAAAGAGCAGGCCTAGACACACAAGATACTGGACAAGTCCTGACAAGGGTCTAAAAATCACGATTGAGTCGATTCTGGACTGTTGCTGTTTGTTAATGTAAAGTCCATAGTTGCAACAATCCACAGAACAATCACATCCAACCATAAGATGTGATGCCATTACTTACTGCATGCATGTTTATGAATCTTAACTTAAGTCCATGTGAAATAAGTGGAGTGTTTTTAATGCATTATGTTTCCCCCCAAAGCAAACATGTTCTTATTCAAATCATAATCACTGTCTGGATACAAAACTATGAAGCTTTAGTTTTTCCATGTTGTAACTTTAAAAAGGAAGTTTAATCTTTCAGTTCCACAAATTATATTGAAATTGCCTTAAATTGCTTTGCTGGCATAATCTACATGACTATAGAGGTTTGTTCAAATATGGGCTGGTTACAATAAGCATAAAAGCAAACGTATGAAAACAATAGTAGCTTTAGGAAAGAATGACCTCGTCCTAGCATGATCTTTTAATCAAAGGTGTTTTTTCCCCCTATTATAATAATAATAATAATAATAATAATAATAATAATAATAATATGAATCATGTCTGCTTTAATAGAGAGAAGGGCAATGTGAAGCCTCAAACCAGAAAAGCCTGGATGATTTTCAAGTGATAATGACTCATAAAATCATGCAGACGACAGTTAGGAATTACCAAAAATGTGTTAACTGGACTTCGATACAGAAGAGATAAAAGTATGACGACGTGTCAGTGACACTGGAGTTATCTGTTAAAGCCGACATCACTGACAAAGGTGCAAAACAAGTTACGAAATGTAATCCAGTGGGACAAGTATGAACACCAAAACAAAATTCCACTTCAGGGCAATCAGAGATTAAGAAAAAAGTAAAACTAAGGCGTTGACGTCTTCATTTAGATCAATTGTAATCAACTGCATGTCACAACCTGATAAATGTTGACCCGTTGGCTCTTTCAGCTCGAAAAAAGGATCCTTATAATGAATTATTATGAGCACACATTTGTAGCGTACATAATATTCCACTTGTATTTGAATCTTGGCTTGAGAGTACGACAGTTCAGCTTAAAAATAGTGCCTCTCCGTGGAATAGCTCTTGTTAATGACAGCGTGGTGAGGACGGCTTCATGTAGTGCAACTGTTCTGTAACTACAGTTCAAGTGAATCAAAATGAATCCGGGCTGCCTTACCAGTAATTACCCCACTCAATCATGGTTCCTGGCTGGAAGAAAGAAAAACACAATATTCTTTATTACAATAAATGAGCTTTCCAAAAATACCGATTGGTAACACACCTTCTTTCCAGAGTAAACACACGCACACAAATAAACGGGCAAGACGTCAAATGGGTATTTTGTCATTCTTGAGATAAGCTGCAATAACAACTACACTAATCTTTCTCTGGTGCTTAAAACAGAAAATGCCCTGCTGTCTCTAACATGTAATATCTTGCATTAACCACGTGTCACAGGGAGCACTGATCTAAAGGCTGTTTTTATTGTTGGATTAGAAAGTACGACTTAATCTGAGGGCATGTCTCGAGCATTATGAGGGACCGAGACTGCTTTCAATTTAACCATTGAGCCGCTGGTTTGCTGATTTCATCTACAGTATGTGTCCCATAAGTAGATACAAAGTGTTTATAGGGGTGGAAAGAACAGCACAAATGGTGACTGTTTGAGCACCGCTCCCATCCTGAATGCTGAAGTCACACGTCCTTACATGTCTTGCAGTAGTTTTATGAGGGCGGAGGTAATCTAGAAGTCTAAGAAGCAAAGCATGTGACTTGCGATGTAACGACGTGACTGTGATTCGGCAGCGCTGTTCTCCTGATCTGGACTCTTTTATCATAAGTTGAGCGCCTTGTTCAGTTTAAATGTTAAAACGTTAGCTAGTAAAAGAGTAACACTCTCCCTTTCTGCAACAACTGATGAGGAGGTGAGCTACAGCGCTGAAGCCCCAGCTGCTGAGAAGTTGACCAAATTAGACTTTATTCATACAACGAGTGATCGGTCAACTTTCCCTAAAACAAAAGTTTATAAAACAAACTGGTTATTAGCTCAGTGATTTACATCATAGGCTCACCCTCTCACTCCGTCACAGACATCTACATGCGAACAAGTATGTCGGCGTGTTACCCACCCTGAGCTGGTAGGACCGGAGCTCGTAGATGTTGGGGCCCTCTCGGGGAACAGGCTCGTTCCAGAAGCTGAACTCCAGCAGAAGCTGGTTTCTGCGAGACATCAGCATCTTACCCCGCTCCTTCCTGTAAGCTGTGAACTCCTGCCAATGACGAACGGCCACCAATCAATAAGCTTTACTTCGACTGACGGCTATGCTCGGTTGTGAGCACTTAACAGGGGGAGACACACAAACAGGAAGTATCTGAGGGAGTCGTTACCTTGTTCTGCTTGAGCTTGTTCATCACCTCTGTCAGAGCCGGGTATCCACCTCTGTAACGCCACAGATGAACTAGGGGAAGGGACACACAAATATATCATAGATGCATCACAGAAACCACAGAGAGGTCAACTGATTCAAAGCAGGATCATTAAACAATATGATGAAAAAAAGGACATTCCTCCAACCCTAAAACTAGTAAACTATAACATCTGACGTAATTATTCTCCCTGTGCAAGAGGGTTGGATCAATACACGGCAGGACTTTCCTAAACTACATACGTCTTTGTGAAAATGTTTTATTTTTATAATAGATTGTAAAACAACAGTTTGATAGTCTGTACAGGTCATATTAAGCAATGACACTGTATTGTTTTTCATGGGTATATGACTATTAGCCGTACTATCAGGCTAATAATTCAGTATTGCATTATACTTCTGTAGACAACAATTAATGCATCATATGATGTAGTTGTGGAACGAGAAGAGTAAGAAGCACTGACACAGGAAAGCTCAGATTAGGTAGTACTACAGTGTCTCTAGGTTTGCATGATATGCAGTACAGCATGCCTGCTGATTTGCAAACTGTGCAGACCTCAGACCTGTCACAATGCAGATGTTTTGATGTTAGTAATCCTACCGGCCTGGTCTTGTTCTCCATACCAGGTATTCCAGGTGCCCACCAGCTCACAGGGGTAGTACTTATCAGCATGGATGGAGGGCAAAACCTCCTCACTGTGATAAGATGAGAAACATCAGCCACTTACTGAAACATCATCTAACCACCGGTGCATTTCAATCTGCATTCACGTCTCCTGAAGACGAAATCCACTTCTGTCTAAAGGTTGCAAGTCCAAAATTATTCCCCAACCATTAATAGACAAATTCATCTTAGTCATCTTAGGTATGAGCGAGGACGGTTTGTGAAGGACTGAAGTCATGCCAGCTTGTCAATGACCTCACAGGAATAGACTGCTCAGAATAGAAGAGACAACAGTGTACCAGGTTGTCCCTGTCTCATACGAATACTACTACTGCTGCTGCTGCCACTACTTGTTCTTAAGTGCAAGTAGATAACAGCATGCGGCTCAGACGATAATGTGAAATTACACTCACCAGAGCTGGTTGTATGCTTCCAGGCACTCTGGCTTGACATTATGGACTGAAAAAGAAGGTCACACTTAAGAACGATCTCATCATTATTAAATGTTGGTAGATTAAAGTACAAAAACTGTGAGGAGAACTTACACTGAATTTTGTACAGATTACTTTCCTCATTTTTGGTTAGTAGGTTGGCGTGTGCGTCTTTCCTGGGATCAACTTTCCTCACAAACAGCGACTTGAACCAGCTGTCCTTTCCGTGTCTGCTGGTAGATGTCGTAAATCCTCTGCAAACACAGACGAGTCACGATGAACAACAATTGGATGAGAAATGATTTCATGACCAGTATGAATCTACAGTAAGACCGGCTTCCTCATATCCTATCTTGATATCTGGTTAGATTTGCACTCAGATAAACGTATTATCTTTATATGACCCGAAATGCTTCATTACCACGTTCTTTCAGGTTTATAGCTATTGTTGTGCGGCACAACAGCTCCGTCATTCACTCAAATTTTTTCATTTTAACTCCACTACATCTATTTGATACCTTTAGTTACTAGTTGCTTTGCAGATTCAGGTTAAAAACGCAGTCAACAAATATGATGTATTATTAAAAGGTGAGGCTGATCCCTGGGGGTACAATTCACCATCCACCCAGCAGCATGCAAAGTAAAATGAACACAAATGATCTCCACCTACACTGGCTGCAACATTACAGTGATGTACAGAGCAATGCATCACCAATTCTGATCCAATTATATAACGTTAATGTACATTATTCTGACAGTCTGCAAAATGAGTAACGCTGCTGCTGGTAACGTTCCTTTAAGTACATTTAAAATGCATGCCTTCTACTTGACCCATAGTGTTTAAACACCTTGATGTCTCTACTTTTACTCAAGTAATAGATCTGAATACCACTGACGGTGCACTAACGACACTGCATCCATCAGAATTAGACACTATTATTAAGACAAACAAACACAACACACATGTTATCCAAATTGACCTTGAGCGATTGAGAGGCTCAATAACAAAAGATGACAGAAACTTGTATGATTTCACCTTCACCAGCAAATACACGCAGCTTTAAATGTTAAATATCCGGGTATGAACTATTGTGAGGAGTAAGCTCTGGTGTGGGTTAAAGCTGAAGGCCACTGAGGACTAGCAGTGAACGGGCTAGCTTTGCACGAGCTCATCGTCCCCACCGCAGAAACCTGCAGAATGACGCACGAGCTGACAACAAGACGCTCCAGAGATGATCACCGAACATGCACACTGAAGACTGGCCCCACCTGCTCCACGCGACGAGCTGTCCGGACGACTGGGCCCTGCTTGTAGCCCGAGCCAGGCCACCGCTCACTCTGTGAAGGACTCCGGTCGCCATCTTCAACGGTTCTCCAAGCACAGACGCAGTAACCGCCTCTGACCACCAGGTGGCGGGGCAGCGCCTCAGCGGTGATACTGTGTTAGTACCACACGGTGAAAAAGTCACTGTCACAGGTAAAAAGTATCAGGAAAATGTAGCCCTTATTAAGTATTACGAGTAAAAGTAATCAATGCAGGACAAGTATCCCCCGTGACTGTTATAGGTTGAGGTGGAGCTGATTTTAACTATTTTGTATCACTGCAACTAATGATGGACATTTTTCATTATGGATTAATCTGCTGATTGTTTTCTCCATTAATCAATTGAATGTTTGGTTTTACAAAATTCAGAAAATACTGTTAAATGCCGTCACCATTACCAGTTTAAAGTGACACCTTCACAACGCTTGTTTTGTCCGACCAAAAGTACGACATTCAAAATTGTTAGAAATATTTCAAAATAATTAAAAGTAGGAAAAGGAAAAAGCAGCAAATCTTCAAATTTGAGAAGCTGGAACCATAAAATGTTTTTAGATGAGAAGTGAAATTATTATCAAAATAGTTGCCAATTAATTTTCTGTCAACCAACTAGTTGATTAATGGAATAATATTTATAGCTGTACTTGTGGGTAGTTTTATTTATAACAAAATGAGTAAAGTAGAAATGATATTGTATGCGTAGGAGATAGAAAACAATAATAATACAATAAACAACTAAATTATAAAGGGAACAAAAAACGAATTTAACAAGTTTCTATCAGAGGGTTATTCACTTCTAATATGCCTTTTTAATAGCAGACATTTTGACTTGTTGTAGAAAAAGTGTTTACATTACACTATCTGGTTATGATCTTTTTCTTCGGAGTATCCTGGTAATGTTTTGCACATTTAAACATATCAAAAGCCTGGATAAAGGCCTTGTCCCAGTTTTGAAAAACCTGGATATGCTACCTGGAGTCCCCCGGAGGAAACCAGGATTCTATGGCATCTAAAAACCACATCCAGGCTTTTAAATATTCTTATAAAGTATGGATCATAGTGGCTGAGGAGGTGAGAAATCAAGACACATCAGACAAATATCTCTTTGTTTTCAGAGGTATGATTTGTTCGAAGAAACTTGTCAAGACTTTTCATTGAGGCATCTCATCTTATAAATTAAACATTTGTTGAGAATAATGTGAAGATTTACGATTAAAATGTAGACATCCGTACTACTGTAGTGAGTTTCCCTGACAAATAGTTTTCCAAATCTTTAAGAATTTCTCCGTATTGGTTAAATAACTGTTCAATAGACTCAGTTTCTACATTACAATTGCTACATTATCTTCTGACATCAGGACTGTATTTGAGTCTCTTTCACTCTACAAGTGTAGCACACTTGTAGAGTGAAAGAGACCTCTTTCATGACATTGTTGATGAAGAAAACCAGTTAAGTAGTTGCTATTGCCTTTTTCTTTTACAGCAGATGTTTTAACTTGTCACAGAGAAAACAAAGGTGTAACTGATATAAATAAAGATGGCTCTGTTATTCACATACTGCCAAGCCAATGAGCCAACACAATAGCAGCACCCTGGAGCTAGAACACAACTTAATTAAGGTTATTAATAACACCTGTGCCTTTCCTGCTTTCACATGTAGAAATGTCTGTGGTAGATTTGAGGGAATCTGTCCCTTCTGTCGGCTTTAATACAAAATGCAATACTTTGAATACATCTCAGCAGTTCAAAAACACTGCAACATTAAGAACCGGAACCTTCTAAACAATGATCACACATAGTCATCACTGTCACTGATGATAAAAGTGAGAACACAACACAAATGTTCCAAAATGACTTATTAAGGTGGAAAAATACTCACCAAAACATACTACACCAGTTGAACAGCAGGGGGCGTTACAACTCAATCTTTAGCACATCAACAGCAATTTTAGTGCACTGCTAAGACCACAGTCCAGTTACATGAACAATATAATATGGACACCATCAATATAATATGGATTCAGATATCTTTACTTCACAGACCTGTCTCTGCGGCATGACCTTTGCAATACTGGCATATATGTATAGCTATATACAGTATAGCTCAGACAAAAACCTGAGAAGATAAGATGCTGATTCTTATGAGGAAATTTGGTTATTTTTTTAAATATTGTACGGTAAGGCCTTAATGAAGAGCACATCAGAACTGTATAGGATCCAGTTGCTGCAGAAAATGGAGAGGTTACTGGGTTGTAACAATGGAGGAATAGTGAAGACTGATTTATTATTTGACAGAGTCACTATGAAGCTAACGGGGACCATATTGCAAAAGGCCATTTGGCTTTAGGAGAAAGACTTACCATCAGTGGAATTCAGAAACTGGGGATTTGTTTCAAAGTTCAAAGACATGAATCATAGGGGAGTGTTTTCTCTGTGAAACATTTTTGAATAAAAACAGGCAAAATGTGCACATGTCTGGGAATTCAAAGTATGATTGTATCCACTTAAATTGTGCCCTTGTAGTTTGGATATTTTTCGAAGTGGTTCATTTTATTATTTTATGTTTGTAGGAAATATCTCAGCATGATTTCAGTAGTTTACCCAACATCCAACATTTTGATATGTTGGACCTATTTCCTGTTTTATATGATTGTATATTTATTGAAAGCATTTTACTAAGAACTCCAGTTTGCACATAAACTGTGTCTCATTACTGCTGTAGTAAAATGTATTCTATGGAGTCTCATCGACCTGTTGAGTGAACTTTTGTTACACTTTGTGCCTGTTTATTTTATTTTGTACATCAGATGACATCCAGTATTTTCTAGTGAGTATTTTAAGAAATTAACTGGCTCAGATCATTATTCAAAAGAGTCATACTCTGCCATCATTTTTCACCAGCGGCGTCAACTTGCATGTGATGCCACATCACATGTTTATTTCTGGAGTCTTTGTCTCCTGTAGTATGCTCCACCTGAGCAACATCATCGTATAATATCACTTACCAAATAACACCTGATAATGTCATCAACATTTAATATGTTTTTAGCCAGGTGTACCTAATAAACTGGCAACTGAGTGTACATCTTGTGTTGTTTTCATGACTCAATGCAGCTAAATGAAAGTAAATCTGAAGTACAATCCTAACCTTAGGTCCACCAGATCTTTGCAGATCTTTTGACTTCATCACTCAGTTTTCATTAGCGGATGGAGTTCAATGGTCATGGAGTTGATTCTGTTGACATGCAAACTCAGTTGCTGTTATCATTTCATACTTAAGACTTGTAGGACTTCTTGTTTGTGTTGGCTTTAAAGTGGATATAGAGCTTTGACAAAACAATCCCAACCCCGTGTCCACTTGCTAGCTATTGTATAGGTTTGCCAAACGCCAACGAAGGAAACCTCAGTGGTTAAAAGCTCCAGAAAAAAATAAGTAAGTGGACACTGAGGTTTTCTTTTGTGAAACAACTTTTTACAGGGTCAAGAATGAATGTTCATGTTGAGGCATATCTTGCCTCTATTTCGGGTCCCACTATGAGTTCGGGTCTAAGTTAGGAAGGCAGATATAAATTAAAATGTCATATTATCTTTAAATGAATGTATATTTTGGATTTTATAGACTTCAGTTGTATTATTCCTTATGCTGTAATTATGTGTTTCTTTCATGTGGCTTCTGTCTTAAACACAGCATTGAACAGCTGCAGCATATATCTCTTTGATTCACGTTCTTAATTTATGTGGTACAAGACACATGCTGATGGTGGTTTGGTGCTTCCCTGCAACTCTAAAATCCCTTACAATATACTCTGATTTCGCTTGGACACCATGAGATTCTCTAAACCAGGGCTTCAAGAAGAACAGCTGTAAAAACAGCTGATATGAATCCCCGACTAATGCATCAGAAAACCATGGATGCCATTCATCAGGGAGTTTAGAAATATATAAAAAAAAAATGGTCTTTGCTTAACTCTTTTGAACCCACATAGCTAAATCCCTCACTCCAGCCTTGTATGTCCTGGGTGGATGAGCAAATTGAAAATCTCCAAGCCAAATTATCTAACCGGCTGTCTTTGCAGCGTCCCTCTCCCTCCTCTTATTATCTTTGGCTTTACTAAGGACATGCTTGCTGTGAAAAGCTCTCCAAGAAATGCTGTAGGACTTGTGAGAAAATGCTTAAATTGTGTTTGTCTTGTCGGGGCACAGCAGTGAGTGAATGCAGCGGCACTACTGCACACAGTGGCACTAAAACATGTATCATGTTTGATGTGAGCTGATTACCATCCTGGAATATGTCTGTGTTTTTACTGAAACGATGAGAAAATGACTGTTGCCAAGAATTACCAGAGTGTGCCCAATCTACAATGTTCCCTGGAGTGGTATTTCGATTGTTGACAGACCACTGGGACTCAGGCTTAAAACAACGTCGTGTATCTTGATGTTTGTAATTTTTAGGGAACACTATAAATGGAGTCCAGATCAAACACTGACCAATGAAGACAGTGTGATTCTCCACTCATCCACCATGTGTCCTCTGAACCCTTCATGTATGTTTCCATATTGTTAATGTCTAACTGGTTTATCTACAGTATCAGTGCTGGAGGAAGTACTCAGATAATTAAAAAAAACTCCATCACAAGTAAAGGTCTTGCATTAAAATTTTTTTACATATGTAAAACATATATTGTGCCTAAAACATAAAAGTAAAAGCACTTATGGTAGAAAATTGGTACCAGTGAGTGTTACAGAATTAAGTATTGATTATTATTGCTGTTGTAATTGTCAATGTCAAGCTAGTTTTAATGATTTTATTTACCCTTTAGTTTACTTATAACAGTGTAGCATATTTTATAGGAGCAACATGTTTTGTATGGATCTTAATCTGCGAAGTAGTAAGTAATTATATTTGACAAATAAATGCAGAGCAGGGAAGAGTACAATATTTCCATTTAGTGGGACTGTAGTGGTGGAGAAGAAGCGGTATGAAATTGAAGTGCATCAAAATTGTAGTCTAATTGTGAGTCTAATATCAATTATTGAAAATACTGAGTTGATGAAAGCTACCACACTGTGCTAAGT